AACAAAAAAAATGCAGTTATTGTATATTGTACATGAAAATATGTGAAGAAGGATTTTAAAACTGAGGAAAAGAAGAGATCTGTACTAGATTTGTTTAGAGTAGGTGAAACAGTCTTTTAATAGAAATTAAGCCTCTAGGGCTTCACGGAGAAGAATTTGCAGTCTGGGTCTAAAACAAGAGGTGGAATGGTCATAGTTGACAAAGTCTGGAGCATGCTTTGGGAACATAAGGCTAAACTGAAGCGGGGGGCCATTGGGACTGGAAAAGGTGGGTAATTGTAAGATTAGGGAATTGAATGTGCTGTTGACATGTATATGAAAAGTCTTGGGATAGTGGCAGAAGTTCCAATGAAGAATAAGACTTTAACCTAGGTGTCAAAAATCTTTTTTTGAGATGGAGTCTCACTCAGTTGCTGAGGCTGGAGTGCAGTGGTGTGATCGCTCACTGCAACCTCTGCCTCCCAGGTTCAAGCAATTCTCCTGTCTCAGCCTCCTGAGTAGCTGGGATTACAGGTGCCCACCACCACGCCCGGCTAATTTGCTTTTTTGTATTTTTAGTAGAAACAGGGTTTCACCATGTTGGCCAGGCTGGTCTTGAACTCCTGATCTCCAGTGAGCCGCCCGCCTCAGCCTCCCAGAATGCTGGGATTAAAGGCGTAAGCGACCATGCCTGGCCCAAAATCTTTGTACCCTGTAGCGGGAGCAGGTTGGGAGGGCAAGAAGGAGAGATAAAGGATAGTGAGATTCAGAAGCCTAAGAAGTTCATCCTACTGGTTTGCCATGGTTTGAAAGTACCCTTGGAGTTAGGAGAACGCTAGCTTCTTATTCCAGTTGGTAGCACTTGTAGTAGGGAAGAAAAGGTAGTTTCTCCTATAAATAAATGCTTATAAGGATAACAGGGGAGATAGGATTTGGACAGCTAGAAAGGAATGGTAAGACACTTCAGGCAAGCAAAGTCATATGAATATTAAAGTGGAGAAGAAAAAAATGTGCAGTAATTTGATCAGATTGAAGTTTAAGGGAAAGGAATAGGGAGGCATAATTGGAGAAAAGCAACTGGCACCTGATTGTGGTGAATTTTGCTTATCACTTTGACCTGTAAGAGAGTAGTTCTCATTTGTCCCGCACCCCCATTGTAATTCACTTGATAGAGAAAAACGAAACTTAAATACAGGATATACTCTCATCAGTAATCATTATCCTACTAGAGAAATAAAACAGTTAAGTGTCATGTGCCTTAGCTTGTAACTTTATCTCTCTCTCTCTCCTAGTGATCTGAAATACTCAAGTGTGTAAGTTTCATCAGTCAGCCCAATTAGGATGCCTTGCTTTAAGCACTTGGAAACTATTGAAATTCTATGATTTTAAAAATTCAAAAAAGGAGTTGATAAAAGCAATACTTCATGAAATTAATCTAGAAGAGGTGTTCCAAATGGATTAAACATAATATTAAGCAGGTATGAAGACCGTAGGTTGTTCAGTCACAGGAAAAGAAGACTTGACAAAGCCCAGGGATTAGTTGGAAATGATAGGTAAAAATGAAAGAATCAAATCCTCAATATAAAATAGAAAACCAACATAGCCAATGGTGAAACTGAGTTCTCAGAAGTTTGTCTTACAGGCAGGATAACATTCAAAATACTTAACCATGTGTAAGTGGGGTCACTCATCACAGGTCATGGACAACAAATCAGAAAGGACACCAGTTATAAATAATAAGTATAACCTCTCTGATCTAATTCCATTGAATAAGAGCTCAGTCTAAAAGATCCATATGTATATCAACCAGTCAGAAAATTAATTATGTTTTCAAAAGGAATATATTCCTTCTAAAAAATTTCAGAAGCTTTCTAAAAATTGAGCTAGGTAATATGACAAAGGCCACATAGAGCTAACAAATGGATGATAATGTTCAAATGTTATTTTTTAATCCCAGGAATTCTTCCTATCCTATCTGATGTAAATGCAAGACATCAATTCTCCCAGTCTTTCCTGTTCTTTTCCCCTCCCTCTTTTTCTTCATTTATTCAACAAACATTTGGTGAACATCTAAAATTGTGCACCATGTTTCCACTCCAATAAAACAATCTACTTCTGTTGTACTTAATTTTGACCTCAGATATTTAATCTTCCCCTTTAAAGTAGACTTGATATCTTGATGATAAAGTAATAGGTAATTAATAAATAAGAATATTGCCTGCTGAGACATTAAAATGGCTTGTCATTCTTGGATATGTTATTAACATTTGGTAGGTATAATATGCTTTCCTCACCCAATTTCATGGAATGAAAAAAAAAAAACTTTTAAGACAGAATTCTAGAAAATAATTTTTTAAGAACTAGAGCCTTTCTATGAGTTATATTTTAACTGTTCAAGTAACCCAAAGGGTTAATGTTAATATAACAAATAATCATCATTTTCAGAATATAAAAACAAAGATAAAATTTTACAAAAGTTTACAGTGTTTATATGTATCTCTTAGAAAGCTTATGGAAATGCAGTTCACATTCACATGTGGTTTTTTTTAGTTTTTAAAAAAATTATGGTGAAATATGTGTAGCATAAAATTTACCACTTCATTTTTAACTGTGTTATTCAGTAGCATTAAGAATATTCACACTGTTACATAACCATCACCACTGTTCATCTCCAGAACTTTCTCACCTTCCCAAATTGAAACTTTGTCATGTTAAATAATAACTCTCCTTTCCCTCCAGTCCCTGGTAACCACTTTCTACTTTCTGTCTCTATGAATTTGACTATTCTAGTACCTCATGTAAGTGGATAATAAAATACTGTGTTGCATATGCTTCTTTCAGTACTTTCTAAAGCATCTGGGCTAGACAATTGAGAATAAATGTGGTATCAATTAGTGGTATCATGCTTAATCAATTAATTAAGACTGTTATATGAGAATCAAAGTGCTTTCTCACCTCTTAATACAGGATTCAGAATTCTTTGGTTCAAAATCTGAATCTCTTTTTCCTGTTAGTTTGTAATAAAATTGGGCCCTTTATACTTTTTGGAATTTTACTTTTTTTTTTTTTTTTTTTTTTTTCTGTCAGAATGCAGTGGTTCAATCTCAGTTCACTGCAACCTCCGCCTCCCGAGTTCAAGCGATTCTCCTGCCTCAGCCTCCTGAGTAGCTGGGATTACAGGGGCCTGCCACTACGCCCAGCTAATTTTTTGTATTTTTAGTAGAGACGAGGTTTTGCCATGTTGGCCAGGCTGGTCTGAACTCCTTACCTCGTGATTCGCCTGCCTCGGTCTCCCAAAGTGCTGGGATGACAGGCATGAGCCACCAGGCCCGGCCTGGAATTTTACTTATAGTTAAATTACATACTTTTAACTAAAAAATGTGTAACATGAGCACTACTGATAATCCCTTTCATGATGACTATTAACTATGTCCTGAGCACCTTAGATACTTTATCTCATTTTACTCTTCACGATAACTCAATGAAGCATGTAATGACCAGTTTTCTAAGAACGGAAATCAAGACTGAGAGACTTTCAGTAAGTTGTTCAAGGCCACACAGCTGTTAAAAGCAAAGCCAGGAATTGAACACAGGTCTGTGGCTCCAAAGCTCACACATACACTCTACTGTTAACTAAACAATGATATGATAAAGACAAGAAACATCCTTTTCTGAACCCAAACTTTTGGAAATATATAATATCCAATGTATTTCTTCTTTATAGAAATGTTTAACAGCAATGTCTGCTTCAATATGATGTCAAGAAATACAATATTAAAATAAATATTTTAAATCACCTCAAACACCAATTATGCCTTGCTTACAATCATGAAGAAATAGAATTTAAAATGAAGAAATGTTGTATTCATTTGTAAATAACATATTGCAGCCAACTGTTTCTTAATTGCTCAGACAGTTGATAAATAATCCAGCCCTGCTGCTCTCCACAGACAATTTGCTTTGGATCAGACCAGGCAATTCAAACAACACTAATTACAGTGAAACCCTTTTATATGAATTTCTGTTTGTCACGGGGCAGAAAGCCCCTTTATAAAGAGTTAAGGCACTTTTTTCTGGTTTTTGCCTGAAACATAACAATTATTACCTGGGCTCAAGTTATACTGAATAAATTTCGGTTGAATGAAAATGGATAAAGTTGTATATCATGTTAAAAGTATGTATCTCATTGCTTTTATTGTTTGTTGTACAGTCATGAATTACTTTAATTTTATATTTTTAATTAAAAGATAGAACAGATGGGGAAGCTTTCTTTAAATAATATTTTCATTGAACTAAGCTACGTTGTTGAATGATTTGCTGTAACAGAAATTTGTGTATTAATATATAGATGTGTCTTTACTGGAGAGAAACCAACACTTCAGGAAGTCTTCACTATACCAAGGGATTCTCTGTAACATGATATCATTGTATTTATGATTTTATGGTGTTAAAATGAATATTAAATGAAACAAAATTCCCAAGGATTACTCAGGAGGCAGCTAAGTACATAACATTTTGCATAGATGGTTGGAAGGCACAATTTTGCTCCATCACTGCATCCATATCCTTGAACGATTTCGACTGAAGGCAGCATTTCTTTGAATTTTTCATTAAACCAGACGTCTTGAAATATGAATTCCTTTTATGTTTCTGTGAGTTTTGGCTAAAAGAACACCAGTGAATAAATCATACAATACTACATGTCACCAGCACTTGTGAATATTTCTGCTTTGTTATTCTATTCTCAGTAGAGCACCATTGATTATCAAACTCAGCGGAGAGCATTTTATGATCATATATCTCCATTAGCTCCTAGTTTGACTACCATAGATTTTTCTGGTTAAGCTTGCATTATGTATTAGGAAGCCTATCTCTTCAATACAACGTTTGATTTCATTTTTCTAAGGCTAGAACTCTTATTATGTATTATGTATAAAGATTCTTATCTTTTATATGTAAAAATAGGCTGCACTGTCTTTGTGTAACTGAAATGTATGCCATCTTTTTTTCTTGATTCACAGGTAGCATATTATACTATGATGATGAATCTCTACAATGCAATGGCTGTCAGGGTAAATATTTCTTCACTTGTTAAACAAATGAAAAGTCAATTGTGCCCTGAATTCGCTTTTAATAAAATGAGCAAAGCAGAATAATGCAAATTTGATTGATATGCTAATGGTAAAGAGAGAAAGAGTATGTAGTTAAAAAGTTAGTTATGCTAAATAATCTTGGCAGTATTAAAAATTAGAGTAAAATGTAAAACATGTAATTATAAATGCTTATGTTTTAGAATGTTAAATATCTCTGAGCCATAACTAGAGAAAGACTTAAATATTAATGAAGCAATGTATTAGTTTCCATATGTCATATAGAATACATTGTGATAAATAGATGAACATGGTTCTGGAATATAAGATTCCTGCCCAATACAAATCAATTAGAAATTATTCATATGATTTAACAGTAATGAAGTCAGTTTCCAGCTTAGAAGTTTTATTTCTATCATTTCTGTATTCATTTTTACTGTGTTGTTTTCCTAATAGAAAACTGAATTTAGCAATTATGGAGCTTGAACTCGGTTTCTGTACTGATCTTGGGAACGGACACAACAAAAATACTATTTCTTTTGTTTCAGACAATATGACAATAATTTAATTGCTAAGCTATTATAAATGGAGAAATTTCTTAAGTGAATTTCATTAGTGTCCTTAAAATCTATGTTGCCTTATATTCTTTTTCATTAATCTGTTAGTTCTTCTGCAAATAATGGATTTTATTTTGAGTGAGGCACGGTAGTAAAATTCTTTCAGAAAGTGCTGGAGTGAACCATAGTGGGTAAGATAACATTATTTTGACTCTGTATTTTGCTTTAGAAAGAGGCTCTTTCCTTTTCAGGTGAGTGTGCTGGTAGTCTAGCCGGCTCACTCTAGTATTTCTTCATCCTCCTCTCTGCTTGCTCTCCTGGAGTTTGAGGAAAAATATAAAAGGAAGAAGTAGATCTTCCTGCTGCTTCTCTTGAGCCAGAGGCAGATACTCTAGCTGCAATGGGCTATTTACCTTTCTCAGTAATATTCATACAGGAAAACAATTTTTCTCTTTTAATGGGAATACTTTGGACTGGGGATTTCAGACATTTTGTACTGCTTTGCTATAAACCTAACCTCAGAGACTAAAACACCATTGATTATTTTCTGCTTACTTCATGTCAGATGTGTCTCCAAAGTAAAAAGTCATAGATGACTGAGAACCTAAAGCAGTTAATGACCATTTAGCTATCTCCACTCGTCACCAGGGGAGATTGTAGAAGAATATTCTTCCTCTCTTCTGTGCTACTAGGGAGAAGCACAGAAGATAGGGTTAGAAAGGTGCATACTTTTGTGTATTATTTCACCACAAACCTTCATATCGAGTTCTGGTCTGACTTATTAAGGTTTCTTTTTCCTAGACTAAACATATGTAAGAAATTCACATCAATACAAGTCCTTCAGAAGGCAGTTTTTTTACTTATTCCAGCATATACTAAAAGCTCAATTTTCCAATAGCATCATCCAATGTCAATTTATCTTTGATTAATGTCAATGGACAACGTTGAATTTTACCTGAGTCTTGTGATCCTGGAAAACAACAAAGGTTAAGAAATCCCCACACCTGGTTGGGTGTGGTGGCTCACACCTATAATCCCGGCACTTTGGGAGGCCAAGGCAGTTGGATCACCTGAGGTCAGGAGTTCGAGGCCAGCCTGGGCAACATGGTGAAACCCCACGTCTACTAAAAGTACAAAAATTAGCTAGGCATGGTGTTGGGCGCCTGTAGTCTCAGCTACTCAGGAGATTGAGGCGGAGAATCCCTTGAGCACGGGAGGCGGAAGTTGCAGTGAGCCGAGATCCCACCACTGTACTCCGGTCTGGGTGATAGAGCAAGAATCCGTCTCAGAAAAAAAAAAAAAAAAAAAAGAAAGAAAGAAAAAGAAATCCCCACACCTTTTTCTGTTTTAGAAACAGCTTACTGCAAAATAATAATAATAATAATAATAATAAAAGAAAAAGGAAAAAAGTTACTCTTCCCTTGTATCAATTAGATATATACAGGGATGCTCCACTTTTTTACCTATGACAAGGCCAGGTGCATTCCCTCCAAATTTCCATTCTTTACCTTACAAATGATTAGCTGAATTGCTTGTTCCTACTGATCAATTGGAACAAAATGTCTGTTAACCAATCTGTGATTTAGCTTCTCTCCCTCCTCTACGTCCCTGAGCCTTGGCCAGCATGTAACATCTTAACGTCCTCTCCTGATAATAGACTGACTTTAGGATAAAAGATTCTCTGATCTACTATTCAATCATGCCACCCTTTTATCCCACTTCTCCACCTTAGGTTCCTTCTAGCCTTGTTTTACCTTCCTAGAAAGGAAAAATTCTTTGTGCCTTACTCTTGACTTGCTTATAAATCTTGTGGTCAAAGTGCTCTCCCTATTGCAATAGTCTGCCTCTGAAGATTGCAGTAGTCACCCTCCCACTTCCTCTTGCAATACTCCTTTCAAATAAAGTCTCTCCCTTGTAATTCTGGATCCTTTTTCCCTTCCCCTTCCTTTCTCTTATGCTTCCCTCTGCTCCCCTCCCTACCTCTCCTGTCCACTCCTATCCTCTTCTTATTGCCTTTTCTCTCTGACACAACATTTTGGGATATCAGAGTAAGGGTGGGAATGCAGTAGGGATTAAAGTGAGGGGAGGGAAGACTTAGCATTTACCTGGAGGTTGGAACAGTCCACTTAGTGACACTCAGAAATTTCTGCGAGGCTGTGTGGAGCACATAAATATTACTATGGGAAATTTCTAATGGAGACATTTCTCTAACAAAGAAGTTCAAAGTCACTCTTTAGAGGTTTGAGATGGGTTAACCTGGTAGTAGACTATGTGCTACTTCATGTTCCTAAGTTGAGGAATCAGGAATGAGGCTCACTGGCATAAAGACCATAAATGATTCCATAACAATGATAAGTTTATAGCATTGCTTGATCCAAGTGACCAGTGACCAGAACTGAACCCATCAGTGGACTCCAACCAATTTATTTGTAAGTGGATTTTTGCAAGATGATGCTCTTAAAATTCTGCTACTTGGAAGAGTGAGTGGCCAAAGAAACCAATGTGTGGCCCAGATACCTTTGTGTTGTGTACATCTGAAGATTACAATCCTAACTGGATACCAGTAGCTGAAGTTTTATTTCTAATACATACAAATCTGCTTTTTCAGTTCATAAGCTACCTGGTAACTTAGTTCAAAATTAGAAGTGATTTGAACATGAATGGCGAGTGTTCAAAAGAAAGAATCTCTAAGGGTAACAGATAACTACCAAATATCTATATGGCCAATCATATCCAGACAGATATATAGGTACCCAAATTATGAATAAGACCTTCATAACTGACATATAAGAACAAAACTTTTGTCTTAATTTTCCTTATGAACAAAGCCTATTGTAAGTTATATATATTTGGCTATTGATTGCTACCATGACAACTAAAATGTATTCAATTGTCAAAGAGGCTAGTGGAACATTTCTGAAGTGGCAGGAGTTTTACAAATTTATTTATAGCCTATCCATCCCTAAATAGACATCACTCTTTTGTAATGAAGAACAAATTATATGTATGTGATTTTCTTTTATGTAATATATATTAATATCCGGATTTGCTGCATTTAGTTTTAAAGGGTCACCTTTTCTCTAAAGACTTTATGATGCCCCTACCCCTGCAGAATTCATCACTTTCCTTTTTTATGTTCCTGTTTTACCATCGACATACTTCTGTTATAGAACCTGTAACATTTTATTATCCTTACTAATTTACATGCCTGTCTCCACCCCACCACCTCCTGCCCCCCTACATACTGTAAGTCTCTTGAGGCCCAGATCCTTTCTTCTTCATCTTTGTATCTTCAATGCTTGGCTTATAGTAGGTGGTTAAATAAATATCCCTGAATAAATCAATGAATGCTGGCCCATTCTTTCCTAAACAAGGAGTAAAAAAAGTCCTTTACTTTAACACATTTTTTCTAAGTTTCAAAGCGCGTTTGTTGCAAACTATTTAAGCCTTTGCTGGGGGATCTCTAAGCCTTTTTTGATTATCTGACTATACTATAATGATGTAGATAAACTGGACTTGCTAAGGTAAAATTCAGTTTGCGCAGTTCATATGTAAATGGAAGACTTCACGAGATTCAGGATTTTGCTGAAGTGTCATAACGCATACGGATTTGAAGGAGGTTTGCTATGATATAAGCTGCTGTCAGAACCCACAGTATGCCTTTACAAAACCCCTGTTGCTGATTTGCTGCTAGGCCAGTGACAGTCAATTAATATAGCAATAAATTGCTCAGTAAATTTTTATCTTAGCTCCTGGGGCCCTATTCCTCCTGTTTCTCTGTGACACTTTATTTCCTTTTTAGTCTTCAATTTGACTTTACTCCAGTTAGAGTTCTGCTTTTCTTCCAGCATCTTTTCTACTCCATTGTAGATCCTATTTAAATTTGGCCCCCAACTTTTATTTTCAGTTCTCTTTCTTTGAACAGCTGTTAGTATCTTATGCAAACGCCATGAGCTGATTCCGTTGCATAAGTCATTTCTCTCCCTCTACCATCTAGATGTACAATTGTATATCTTCCGACAGCCTTGTGTAAAACTGACCCTCCATTTTCTATATAGCGAGCACTTGGATGTCATCTTAGCCCTCCAAATACTGGGCTTAGAGAGTCCGGTTTCTGACAATATTATAAAGATGAGGGTAGGAATTACTTATGTGGGGAAAACCCATTTAAAAATATCCCCAGGTAGTAGAGTTTAGTGGAATTATTTTTTCCATCCTAAGGTCTATTTCTTGTCCCTTTTTCCCATTACCTTGATTCATAGTTTTCAATATTTAGTGTTTTCTCTTGCTTATGGCTTTTGCTGATTGGCTGACCCCATCCAGGAAGAAGTCTGTCATACAAACGACATATATCTTATACCTAATTCTTACATTTGTAGGGAGAAAATAACCCAGGACCAAGATTACATGCATTCAGCCTCAACC